GATTTTTTTTTTTTTTTTTGGGTCTCTTTCAATACTTTCGGTTGCACTTGCTAGTGCTGAATTATAATGCATTCTAATCCGCTTAGTAGTACATATATGTATACAAGCACAATCTGCTCACTTACAGCACCATTACATGCATGAATGTTTCATATAAATGAGTATAAGATAAAAAATAAGGTAAGGTGAAATAATTTAAGAGGCATACTCTAACTGTTGCTTAAATATTGGACCTCGATCGTCTATTTTCATTATAAATTGTAAAAAGGAGGATCTATGCCTTTATTTGTAGAAATTAACTATAAGAATTAAAAATGACGGGCGATTTGCACGACCTGGATGATTTGGTGTCGCTGTTAAAATTTTGATCCTGCTAAGAAATTTTATAGGAAAATAGCCCTCGGTCAGAATTTTGGGAAGCGTTCCTAGCGGTCATAAGTTTTTATACAATGATTTATCATAAAACGTGGCAATCGCCACAATTTTTATATGGCGATAAGGGCGCCCTTCCATAAAGCAAGTAAAACAACCGCTTTAGGTCTTATATTTGTGAGGGCTCAATTTTTTGTTATACCTAATAGATATAAGTTTAAAAAAGAGTTATGTAAGGTAAAAAAGTTTGATTTTTTTCTTTAACAAATATAGAGAAGAAGGATTTGCAACTGCTATGATTTCTACCAAGGAAATTGTACTTGAAATAATATCAAACCCGAATTTCGTAAGAAACGTGTGATATATAGGAAGTAACAATTTAATGCGAATGTTGATAATAAAAATCTCAAAATCTTTCGAAGAGTCCTTTAGAGTTGATTACTTTTAGACATAATAGACAAAGCTATTTTTTCACTTCAAAATAGATTTGAACAATTCGAAGCATATAAAAATATTTTTGGTTTTCTATTTGGCAGTAAAAACTAAGATCACTAGATGTTGGAAATTTGAAAAAATATTGTCTTAATCTTGAATGTTCCTTAAAGCATAATAATCAATTCGATATTAATGGTTTAGCTTTATTTTCTGAATTAAAAGTATTAAGGAAAATAGTACAATTAGAAGATAACAGTTTAATTGATACACTTAATCAAATAAAAAGATTTAATTCTTTTCCAAATGCCTAACTCGCTTATGAAATAATGTTCACAACTCATGTTACCGTTGCTTCAGCGGAAAGAAGTTTTCAAAATTAAAATTGATAAAATCTTACCTAAGAAAAATAATATCACAAGAAAGATTTAATAGATTAGTTATATTATCAATTGAGAAATATTTATTAGGAGTTATAGATTATAAGAAAATTATTAATAACTTTGTATCTAAGAAAAGTTAAGAAATAGACTTCAAATAAAAAATAAAATAAAAAGTTAAGGCATTTCATAAAGTCTAGCTTTAGGCCACAAAATTCGTCGGCCGCCCCTAATGGTGATAATCAGGATTTGCCACAAAGCCTGACAGATTGTTAGGATTTTTCAGCTATTGCGGTTAAAAATCCCGACGATCGCTAAAACTATATGTTAAAGAAAATTCTGACTATCACTAGGAGCCCAAATTCTGAACAGTCTATTTTCTCAGTATTTTTCCTAATGAGGTCAAAATCAGAGCAATAATCCTAAAAAGGTCCACCCAACATAATTTAGTGAAGAACGACTCTAATCACGATAAAAGGAGACAAAGCTCTTGTAGTGAATAGTGATCAAAACTTGCTGAAGTTCTTTTTAAAAAAAACCTCCTTGGAGTTAGGGTTCAGTAGCTAGTTAATTTCCTGCAGTAGGTGCCTAAGGCCTGTATGGAGGAAAGCATTTTCAAAGTCAAAATCCAATCACTAAGTTGACATAATAAGTAAATATATCCACCAAAGTTACCTATATGTCAGCCTGAGTAGTCGCTATTGTACATGCCACTCTGTCCATTACATTTTATGGGAACTTTTTTTTATGAATTTCACATAAACTAAAATTATATAGAGTACCAAAATCGCCCTTGCTATTAATAATTAAATGAAAATTGAAGAGAACTCTACACGTTTTTTTGCATACTAGTTTCTTGATACGTGCACGTATTATTCCGTACAAGCAGTAATTTTCTTTTTTTTAAAAAATATTATTAAAAAATGTGAAATATTACACAAAAATTTCAAAAGAAAAAAATATAAGCTAAAAAGAATAAATAGTTTTAAAGATGTAGTGTTGACTGGATAGCTCTGCGAAGATCAATAATTATATTTAGTTAGACAAGTGTATTTTATAATTACATAAATTTAGTTGTTATGAGTTACAAACATATAATATGACCGTAATTTCACCTAATATTTCTTTGTAGATATTGTTCTTAAAGTTGTTCCATTTAATGTTTCA